GACCCTGGCTGGGCTGTGTATGTCCACTGACACAGCCCAGCTCGCCCCCTCCCTACAGGCTGTGATTGGCAGTAGATGTTCTCAGCATCTTCTAATTGTATAAACATCCCAACAGTATGCCTCAAGATTGTATCATCCACATAGCCCCCGATTCACCAATCAGATTCAAGTCTGCAACAGGATAGAATGAGCACTTAAATCTGATTGGCTGCTACAGGGCTATATCAAGCATTGTCATCTAAAATTAAGGGTTGGTGCCAGCGGCCATTCAGTGTGAAAAAAAGAAAAAAAAAAACCCACAAAAATGTATCAGTTTACCACAATTCAACCAAAATATTTTTTTGGTGAAGGTTTAGAACCTTTTGTCAGCTTTTTATTGCCATCTGAGAACTTTTGCTACCTGTCCTTATGACCCCCCTGCAGGAAGTGAAGTAACCTCTGTGAATGGGGTATAGTGATGAAAAAAGAAAAAAAAAAAGTTTTACTTTTGCTATCCCCCGTCACCTACAGGATGTAACCCTTGATATCCAGGGAAGGGGGATATTTCATGTGCGTGTTGTGACTTGGGGCCCATTCACATGTATGTGCGCATTGCAATGCAAGATAGTGAAGCGGTGGATAGGTCCTTACAGATTCCCTTTAAATTAATTCAACTGCATCCCATAGAGGTGAACCAGCCACACAGAAAAGAATGGGATTTCTACGTGAACAATGAAATTGTTTTACGGCAGGAAAACAGAAGTGGGACTAGTTGCTTTATGATGTCATTAAACCGCAAACAAGTCTACGAAAACAGGTCTGAATTACTTTCAGTGACTATAGAAACCAACACATGCATGCTGGACAATGAAATACATTGACTTCTTGTTTGCCTACAGTAAATCATTAGATAGAGATGTAAATCGCTGTACTGAAACCCGAGCACAGTCCACACTAGTTGTGTTAAATGCACCCAAATAGATCACACAGTGTATTTAGCACAAGGGGTTTGCATCAACTATGGTTTGCATTTCCATTCAGGTCTATATGAATGTAAAACCTACTTGAAGCAGATTAAATTCAGGTGAGTAGGAGTAAATTCTACTGCACCAGTCAATGAATTCTGAATGATCTCAGAAGAGTCTCAAGCTGGTCCCATCAATACAATCCTTTAAAGTCAAAGTTTAGTAAAAAAAATAATAAATAAAATCAGCACAAGAGACATGTCTTACGGTCCGTGTGATGTGTCCCTTGTGCTGAGGTCTCTTGCTTTGGAGGAGATCTTTCATCCTCCAATGTCCCGATAGACCCACCACTGCAGTCTTTCAGTGTGGTGGGGGATATTAGAGCCAAGGGAAAGCACAAGGGACCCAGGACACTAATAGTAAGTCATGTTCGGTGTGCAGATGGGTTTTTTCACTAAACATAGATTGTAAAAGAGACCGTCAGCTTACCCACTCAGGCAAGGTGACAGTGTCTGCGTAAAGAGGGCCCCAACTGAACCCTACAGATGCATACCTTGCCTGTGCTGCCTTGACACTCCTTTCATCGTTGAAGCAAGCGATAATACCCGATGCTTTCAGGAATGGGGGACAATGCAACCTCCTTTGATGTGACGGTGCTCGGGCCTAACAATCGATTGTTAGACCAAACACTAAGGGGTGTCACCACTCCGTGTCAGACCACCAGCTGCAACACAGGAAGAAGTGTCAAGGCAAGTATCAAGAGGTTCAGAGGGCTTTCTACAAAGACACCTTAAAGTGGAACCTAAAAAAGGGAAGTGCCGCTTTTCCTTCTCATTTTACCCCCTCTCCCCCTGCCATATTTGAAATTTGACTTTTTTTGGGGGAGTGGGTACCTAGATTTCGCTACCCCCTCCCCCCCCTGGCCACAACCTTCTGGGACAAGTCACAGGTTTCAGAAGGCTGAAAGACTATTCACAGAGCACAGCAGTGGGGAGCCAGCTGCGAAGCTCCACAGTTAACATGCTGGAGTTGGGGACCCGAAGACCAGAGAAGAAGTGGCCCGGGTGAGGACGGTGCTGGATCCCTGTACAGGTGAGTGTGTTTATTAAAAGTCAGCAGCCATAGTTTTTGTAGCGGCTGACTTAGTTTTTGGAAACCTGGCTAAACCTCCTCTTTAAATTTCCCTGAATAGGTAAGGTGACAGGTTCTCTTTAAATAGAAGGTTGTGTTCTGCATTCACACTAGAGATGAATCCTATCTACAATGATCCACACCAATCACTCATAGCTCATTACCAGTATGCACGCATCATTTGTCTGTCGGGTTCAATAAATATGTAAAATGTATGAAATTGATTGTATAAGCCTTTTAAGTTCACTCACATCAGCAAATAGTGGGTGATACAGACATTGGGACATAACAGAACATGTACAGATCACATTACGATCAGAACCTTTGTCAGGTTTTTATTACAGTCTATGTCCCCATAGAGATTTACCCTCACTACCTGTCCTGCTGGCATGACAGGAAGGAAAAATACTCAATGAGAGCACAGACAGCAAAGGAAACACAACCCCCTACTACTCTCAACAGTACGTCACACTCAGCGTGGAATGCTTTTCACGGAGTTCATTGGAGGACACAGCTCTGCTTTAGAAAATCACCGACTGCGTATAACACCTGCAGTTGGTGATTTAAAGTGCCCTTGATGAACAAAAAAAAAAATTAAATAATAGTTTTTAGTATTGTGTGTGTCACCCTTGGAGAGATTCTCCTCACTTCCTGTCTTGCTAACAAAACAGGAAGTGAACAAAAAGGCAGGAATATTAAAACAAAAAAACACACACCACATAACACACACCTCTGTTCTACCCAAATAATAAAAATGCATTTTTATAGTTCACATTCTGCTCTAAAACCTCTTTAGCGTATAACAAATAAAAGGTAGGTCAAAAATATAGCATGCATTTGTGCTGAGAATTTCAGGGCTGGTAAAAATCTGAAAACCACACGGATTGTGGCCTTCAAGACGACTTGAAGAGCTGTTGGCTGTTCTCATGGGCCCATACACCCTGCATTGACATGACAGGCTACACTGTGACAGGCTGTTGGTGGCCTCAATTACTTCGTGCCTGTTCTTTCAGCCTGTGGTTACCGCGGCTGGACACAAATTCCCATGTGAATAGTGCCTAAAATCAAGTTCTATTTTTTAATGCTGTCATGATGGGGCTTATTCACATAGGTGAAAAAAAACATACACTGCATAAAATGAGCATCTCTCTGCACCCAGGAATGGCATGTATTTGTGTTCACATACAGCTTCACGTACAAACCAATGACAGGCTGAACGCTGGTAACCGTCTATCTGAGCCTTAATTTGTATACAGGGATGGGTGAGAGGCTCTGGATGCACACTGTCTGCATCCTGGGACACATGGAAACACTTGCATGTGCGGTTACCAGTGTACAGCCGCAGCCTGTTATTGATTTGTCCAGACGGCTGCATGCAAACACGTCACGACCCTGGCGCAAAGATGTGCTCCTTTTTCATGGTGTACAGCTATCTGCTCCCACGTGACTGAGCCAGGGACACTTACACACCATATCCTTCGAGCTTCACAGATCAACACAGAACAATTGTTTTCTGCGGGCCCTATTAACACCATTAGACTGCTTTGAGGTATGCTGTATATATATATATATATATATATATATATATATATATATATATATATATATAAAAAAAATAATTATGAAAGAGGATGCCTTACAATTGCATTTTTATGCAGCACAAAGCATGGCATCGCATGGCATTGCAATGGGCTGTGGTGTGTAGACTTTTCACTTTACACTTCCGATAAAGTTAAAGGGCATAATTCACCTTTATCAAAAACTGTATGCAGGTAAGGGGTGGCTGTAGATGGAAAAAAAAAAACCTGTGCAGTTTTGAATAAAAATGGAATATTGCCCTTGCTTTAGGTGTAGGCCATTTACATACCTCATGAAGCCTGACTGGAAAACTCCTAGGATGTTGCCAAGAGTCTCCCAGCTGTTACTATTCTCTTCCACCATCACAGGAGTGAGCTCTTTCTCCATCGATGTGGTAGCTCTGAGCTCAACCTTTGCAAGCTCGCTCTTGTGATGGTGAAGGTGAACATTAATAGCTAGGCATCTCTTAGCGACATCCTGGGAGTTTTCCAGTCAGGCTTCACAAGGTACATAAATGGCCTGCACCTATAGCAAGGCTATTATTCAACTTTGGCCAAAGCTGCACATTTTGGTTTTATCTACAGACACCCCTTACCTGCATAGGCATTTTTTGCTAAAAAGGTGAAAAAAAAAAAGAAAAAAAGAAAAAAAAAGGGAAATAAATCGTGTGACTCACGTTAACTACACGACATACACCAGCATGCATGTATTATAGTGTGCAGGTTGGTGTGACTGAGCTGTCTCATGAACATTTTGGTCTTGAAATGATACCCAAAATGGCTGCCCTTTGGTGTGAGACAACTGAGGAGCCATTTTGTTTTCTGAGATAAGATTCATATGAACACAGAACTGGGAGTTGCCAGTAATATCAATCACCAAGAAATGGCCGACAGGCTGCACACCAAGACATCATAACCTAGTTATAAAATGGCTCCATTCAGGTCAAGTAATTAGGCCGTCAGCCATCTTTTTTTTTTTTTTTTTTTGTGGACTGGAAATTAACTTATCAGCCCTTTATGAAGCAATGACTCCTGTGTGAGGGAATGGTTCCTCTATGAGGAAATTACTCCAGCAATACCAAGAAAAAAAAAAAATATCCTCACGATAGAGTATTTGCCCCTGGAAATTTCCAATATTCCCAAATCACATTTCTGATATAAAAGCAGAGAGCAATTTACTAAACCTACAGCGGCATGGTTAGCAAGCAGCCCTGTCAGTCACAACCTAGAATACATTTAGGCAATGCCTAATTAAAAAAAAAAAAAAAAAAGTATCACAAAATATACCAGTATAAAAATAGTCTCAAAAGATGAACTACAAACGATTTCCTTTTCACAACAACAAAGTCTAGACCGGCTGCTGAGCCCCAATCTGTTTATCTTCATATTGTGGAGGCGGCGTTATGGGTTCGATCTTCTGAGTTTCACTCGTGTTGTTACGACCGGACAGGTTCAGTCTGAATTCCTTCAGGTGAAGTTTGTCAGATTTGATCCTCCGAACATTCAAAGGTTTTTTCTCTTTCCCTGATCGGGAATTTGTCCTTTGTGGTTGCTCTGGTTTCGCAGAGGCGGCGTTGGGCCTAGTTGGTGTGGACTCGTCCAGTTCAGTCAGGGACTCGTAGGATGGAAGGGAAATACTAATTCTTTGGTTTCTGTCAGCATCGGCAGTTTGTCGAGGTTCATATTCCATTCTCATCACTTCCTCATAGCTGGGGGCGGAATACCTCGGGGGATCGGGTTCTTCTTGGCTGCACGGAACAATACAAAGCATTAGTGAGGCAATTCAGTTTGGGTTCTATACGTATATATGTCATGTAAAGGGCAACAAGCACCAAACATTACAATCTGAAGTAGACTGGGCCAATAACTTTGTAGGATGAGGGCTTCTTTGATTTAATGGATTGTTTACAAAAGGCCATCAGTGCTGTCTTGGATTTAAAAAACAACACACACACACACACACACACACACACACACACACACACACACCATCCCCTCAGCAGCTTAAAATATGTACTGCTATACTTTCCCCTACCCTAGAGACACACAATCCAGCCCCACTTCTCTTACAGGATGAATGACACCCACAATCATTCAACCCACTTCCTGTGAGCTCAGGATGTCAAGGCTCCGCCCCTCAACTTGGGCTCATAGGAGAATTCTGCAGAAGTAGCACCATATTACGTGACGTTGCCAGGGGGGACTGACCATTTGGAAACTCGGGCACTGCCCAAGGGCCCGGGGTCAGTAGGGGGGCCCCCATGAGATGCCCCTGGTACCTTTTTCATAGGCTTTTTTGCAAGGACAAGGACACAGGGGCCCCATGATCCGCTATTGCCCGGGGGCCTCATGAGTTGTCAGTCCGCCCCTGGACGTCGCTCTCTGCGCTTACAACCCGCCCAAGGAAGAAGAAGAGGTTGAAGAGGACTTGTGATGTCACGGAAATGGAAACAGGCAGAGATGATGATAGAGTTAGAGATAATAGAGAGACGTAGAATGCTCCTCTAATTAGGTTGCTAGGCTAAAATTTAGTTTTTGGCATCACTGTAGTCATCGGAGCAGTGATCTATTATTTCTGTCTGGTGAGGACTGCCTAGGTTGGGTGGTTGATTTCTCCTACCTGCTTTTGGGAGACTTTCAGAATTTAGGCCTGGAGAGTCAGACACCCCATTATGAAATAATTATCATGCCCCAGATAATCCCTGGAAGCGGGGTTTCCAGACTTTCAGAATTTAGGCCTGGAGAGTCAGACACCCAGTTATGAATAATTATCATGCCCCAGATAATCCCTGGAAGCGGGGTTCAGAAAGTGGCTGGGGAGGTGATGTTTGAAAGGCCTTTCCAGGGAGGGTTCCAGTTCTCCTGGGGCTGCTGGCCATGGGAGGCAGCTATACAGAAACAAGAAATTGCAGTTTGGCCCTCCGAAGGTGCTGAGCTGAGGGCCTGAAGCAGAGTTACAAAAATTGGATTTTCGTGGAAGATGCTGTGATGTTCTGAAGGCCTGGTCTGGGGAGGATCTATATTATGTCCCGTATGAAGGATCTACCTTTGGAAGCTGGGTGGCATGCAGCTCCTGGGACATTGCGAGTAAGGCCTGGTTGGGACTTCATGTTTGCCTACATCTATATGGATTTGTTTGCGGGAAGTTATCCTCCTATTGATCGGTTTTGGAGTAGCCCCAAACATGAAAGACTCTCTCAGGGAGTGTTTAAATGAAATGAAAGTTATTCAGAAATTCTAAAAAAGCCAAAAGCCTTCTGGGAAAACGTCTTGTGGACAGATGAGACCAAGATAGAGCTTTTCGGTAAAGCACATCATTCTACTGTTTACCGAAAACGGAATGAGGCCTACAAAGAACAAAACACAGTACCTACGGTAAAATATGGTGGAGGTTCAATGATGTTTTGGGTTGTTTTGCTGCCTCTGGCACTGGGTGCCTTGACTGTGTGCAAGGCATCATGAAAACTGAGGATTACCAAAGGATTTTGGGTCGCACTGTATAAATCCCATTGAACACCTATGGTTATAGGAAGCGACTGATTTCAGTTTTTTCCAAAGGGTTCTTTACATTTATCCTGCAACTAAAAAAGTACCATCTAACGGTTAAAGCATTATGCTCTATATTATGTTATAGATGGGTTTTATTTTTGCTTTGTAAGGTCTCCTCTGGACACCAATCGTGTATGTATAACCAAAAACGTAGCTTTTCAGTTTTGTCCTAGACTAGTGTGGTGAGGGCTTGGAACCCCTGCAGAGTTTTTATTGCAGAGTTTTTATTGCTGCATTTCCCCACTAGGGATGGCTCTCTGCTGCAGTTCAGCAATGGCCATTTTACTGAGCGATCTGCCCTGTGGATCACTTTTCAGACGGTATTTAACATGCAGTGAGGAGACATTATGTCACCTCCTCACTGCCTATTTTACTGCCTATTTTAACCCCTAAAAGCCTGCACTGCCCCATGATTGCAGTGCGGCCCCATTGACCTGAATAAGTCATGTTCGGCAGGCAGTACTGCTCACCAAACATGACAGCAGGATACATTTTTGTGACATATAAATACCCCTCTATATGGTTGCCTACGCAGCTGGGGAGGTGGCAAAATGCAGTGCAACCACATGGTTTTTACCACACTCCAACAGCAAAAGCTAAACATTTTATAGCAAAAACATGTGTTAATGCAATATACCTAAACTAAGCCTAACACTTGCAGGTCCTGTATTCCTCACCAGCCTGTGAGTAGACAGGAAACTGAGAAGCAGCAAAACTGATGAGTTCATCACTGGCACTCTGCTCTCTCCTCTTTTCCGCATGCTCCTTCCACTGCAACACAAGTGATCTGCCCCTTGTGCTTCTGTCTGAGCTCTACTGTATAGGGGACTGGAAGAGGGTGACACCAAGAACAAATTCACGTACTTACAGTGTTTACATAAAAAAATAATTAATGATGTCATAATGATTACAGCGCTGCATTATGTGTGACTTTTATCTACTTGCAGCGAAGCATTAGGGCTTGATCACACCAGGTGTGGTGTGATATCACGTTTTCCTGCTCTGCCAAGAAACACGTTACCTTCTGTAGATGCACAAGGGTGTTGCATTTCTAGCAAACATGGGGGTACCATGCAGTTTGCTGGGGCACAATTTAAGTTAAAAAAAAAAAAAAAAAAAAAAAAAAAAATAGTGCCTGCACCTTTTTTTAGCACGCTTCACACACCTAGGGCAGCCAATTGAAATTAATAGACTGCACTAAAACGTGATGCGCAGGAAAAAAACCTGGGAGGAAACCCACGCAGGCACAGGGAGAACATGCAAATTCCAGGCAGGTGGTGCTGTGGTTGGGATTTGAACCGACAACCCTATTACTGCCAGGCAGAAGTGTTGCATTAAGGTAGCCCAAATTAAGGAGCTCCAAATGCCCCAAAAAAAAAAATAAATAAAAAATCGGTACTATAATGCATTTTTTTTCATTGACTTGGTGTGTTAGTGTGCTTTTCAAAATGAATGGCACGGCACGTAATTAGCATTGCTGCACACATTGTGGCAACACATGTTCCTGCAACACAGAGGACAATGGGCCTAGAACACTTTAACCACTTACCACCCAATTATGTACCTATGCCTCCTCAGGTTTGAGTGGTTATACCGGGGCCATGCCTGCAGCTGGAGGCATCACCCTAGTATCTTTTTTCAGCCAGAGATTCTCTACAATGTAAAAGTAACCTGAATGGCTGATTAGCTGCCGGATGGCTATTACATGTGGTGGGGAAAGGGGGCCCCCCTCCTTCCCGGGCTCTACTGTTCCACCACAGAACCTGGGACTGAAGCTGGTGGTTCCTTCGGCTGACCATAGAGATGGCCAAGGACTGGAACATAAAAACATAAACAGGCTGTTATTGGCCTGTGAAAGCATTAGATCAAACTGTTCCGGGTTTGAGCTGATGCTTTGAAGGGCAGGGGAAAGATCTGGGGTCTAATAGACCCCATATCTCTACATAAAGAGAACCTGTCATGGCCCATGCAATCACAAGGGATGTTGTTCAACCCTTGTGATGGCCATAAAAGTGAAAAAATATATAGAAAAAGACAGCATAAAAAAATAAAATTAGAAAAAAAAAAAAAAAGAAAGAAAATATAACCATTTCCCTTTAAAAATATTCCTAAACTAGTTCTGGAATTCTACCCTGAAAACTACAATTTCTTGGTCATTTATCACTTTGGACAGCAGAGGGCACCAAGTCTCTCTAAAGTCTATAGGATGTACTGTAGTAGCTCCTCGCTCCTTAGTTTCTGGGCAATGGACATGTATTGTCACAAAAAGCTTTTTACAGGTAGACACAATCGATGGTCGGCCTGACATTGCTCCAACTCTTCACTTTAATTTCACACACAGCACAACAAGGCTCCCGGCCTCTTCCAATAGACAAACCATCACAGAAATACGAAACATAAGTGGCAGGATGACCGATAGTCTCTGCGATAATGGGATATGCTGACATTCGCCTCTGACGCACCAGCACGTATTTGACTTCTTTCCTTCAAGAAAAACTCAATTGTGAAATTCTTGTGGCAACTCATTTGAAAGTACCGAAACTGCCAAGTAACGCAACTTCAGACTGACCGCGGAAAAACGAGAACTTTTTTTTTTTTTAATTAAAAAAAAAAAAAAAAAGTTAGCGTTCCCATGGCTCAGTTTTCTAAAAATCCTGACAGTTTTTAATGCATTTAAGCTGAAAAATGACTGAAGAATGACTAATCTAAGAATCCTGAAAAACTGGTTTCTGGATATAAAATAGAAACACCTAGGTGGTGTTAATAAGGGCCAAATTTAGACCTGGGGGGGGGGGGGGGCTGGCAAGTTTGAGGAGCCCTCTTATACAGAGTTGGTTTACATTCTCAAAGACAATCACACATTTTCAAAATGCATGACACAAGGTCATTCTGGAGTTACACACACGTACAGTTATAGGCTACCTTCCTCAACAGCTCAAGCACTAGATGTGTGGTTCACTTGAGCTGCCAAAATTCATTTTTAAAAGCAATACAACATACCAGTCCAAGGTAAAAACTGACTCCAATCACACTTGTGCAACTTCTCACGTGACTTTGGAGACAAAGTCACATTACAAGTCGCAGCCCATGTATTTCAATGGAAGCCATTCAAATCTATGCAACTTAAGTCACAGTGACTTGAACCACTTGTCTACCAGGCACTTTTACCCCCTTCCTGCCCAGGCCAGCTTTAAGCACTATCGCACTTT